AAACCCTCCTGTGGGCCAGTCAGCCCCTGGCCTGCCCCGTGCCTTTCTAAGCAGCCCAGGCAGCAGCAACAGCAGCTCCTTCCAGCTGCCACTGTCGCAGACCCCCGCAAAGAGTCAAAGTGTAATTTGAACCCTGTTTTTATGAAAGTATCATTGCAGACTAATAGGTTTGTTTTCACTTGTCATTAACTCCAGGACCAGGTGGACACCCTGACATTCCAGAACCAATCTCTACGGGACAAGGCAAAGCGATTTGAAGAGGCATTAAAGAAAAATACTGAAGAGCAATTAGAGGTAGCTGACATCTGCAATGTAGCTCAGAAAACCAGCAGGACAGGCACCTGATTTGTACTGATTAGTGATTAGCAAACGAAATCTGAGCTCAGGTGCTCCTAGAGATTGGGATGACCCAGACAGCGTCTGGAACCCTGAGCTGAAGCATAGATCTTGATACAAAGACCTCTGTCCTCCTCACTCTCACTCTTGCTCAGCATTATTCAGTAATAAGCTCTTAATTTCTGGGTCTGCTGCATTTTTTCCATTCCTCACTTGTATCCAGTCTCCTGAAGCTGTTCTTTCTCTCTCTCTATCTCTCTCTCCTTCTCAAACTCCAGTTTTTTTCTCTTCTTCCATCACTCCTTTCACTGTAATATCTCACCCTCCTGTGTTCTTCTGTCCTTTCTGTTCTCTGAACTTTCATGTAATGGCCTGACAAGGAGTAGAATGGGGTGGGCAAAATATGGCCTGTGGGCTGGATCTGGCCCATCAGGCAATTTCATCCAGCCCGCAGGCACCCACCAACAAACTGTACCCTGCTCAGCCCTTCTATCCATGAGGGTGGGAGCAAGGCACCGAGGTATACACCCCCACCCCAATATACCCTATTGCACCTCGCTCCCACCCTCCTGGGCAGAAGGGCCTGGCCCAGCCAGCAGCAACTTCCAGGCAGGGCTGCTACTGTTGCAGCTACCAGGGACCGGCTTGGTTTTCCTGGAATCCCACTAACTTCAGGCACCAGGTAGGGAAGCAGTGGGGGCAGGGAGAGCTGCAGCTTGGTGGGGCAGGGAGCATGGGGCTGGGGCTGGGGCTGGCAGCAGCATGGAGCCTGTGCCCAGAGGCTGGCAGGAGCATGGAGCTCAGCGGGCAGGGTATGCATGTGAGGGAGGGTGGAGGAGGGTGTGGGGACCCCCCATGCACTCCCCTACATAGCATACAGCTCCTGCTGCCAGGAGCAGAAGTAGGCAGAGGTACTTGGGGTGCATGTGCCCCGTGTAGGCGTTGGTGCCCGGTAGCACGTGGCTCTGGCCAGCACTGCACTTGGGGATGATGAGTGCAGCCTGCCCCTGTCCAGCCCTGTGCTGGAACTGGTTGCCTTCCCTGACCCATGCTGCGTAGGTCCCAGGACTCTGCTGAAAGATTAGGGGAGCCCTACCCCCTGCTTCCCCATGGAGTCCTGGGACCTGTGCAGCATGGAGCGGGGAAAGCAGCCAGCTCCAGCACAGGCTTCCCCCAGTGCCACGCAAGTGCAGGAGCTGCATGCATGCCATGTGGAGCCCCCATGATAGAGGCAGAAAGGGCAGGCTGCGGTCCTCACCCCCACACTCAGCACTCGTTGGAGCCACGTTCTGCCAGGCACCGGTGCCTGTGCTGGGGCAGTGGGGGCTGCGTGCCATGTGGGGGAGTGTGAAGGAGGGTCCCCACACCCCCCACCCTCCCTCACACCCCACAAACCTCACTTCCCCACCTCACATACCCACACCTTGCCCCCACAACATACCCTATGCCCCCACACACAGCAACTCCCCCTCACAAACCCCACATACACACCCCTCCCACACTCTAGCATCCACACACCCTTACACCCCACCATACACACACACACCCCCTGCCCCACCATACACATATCCCCACACCTCACCATACACACACACCCCGCACCCCACCATACACATACCCCCACCTCCAACCACACCCCACACCTCCCACACACAATATGCAAGACTAAGTTTTTTTAAATTATTATGCAAGCCCCTTTATATACACCACACAAACATAAACCATGACAAGTATTTTTTGTAATAAAATTCAAATATGTTATAGTAGGTGTTTGACTTTTAGAGTATGATTTATTTTTCTCCTGGTCCTCCCCTCCCAAAAGGAGTACTTCCAGTGGGAAGGGGAGGGACTTCTGGTGGCAAAGGTCAGGAGTTAGAGAGCAGGACTTCTGGTCCCAATATGGTGACTAGGGGAGGAGCTACCCATGAGGCACTCATAGCTCACCAAAAATTGTGAAGCGGTCCTCCAGCTGAAATAATTTCCCGCCCCTGCTCTAGCCGCATTATAGGAAATGCTTGTTTTACCAGTATTTCATTGGAAATGCAGCAGAGAGGATTCTCTAAAGAGGATGATCCGGATCAAGCCTGTTATTAGTAGGCTCTACAGACCCTGGGTTTAATAAAGACCATTATCTAGCCTTGTCTCCCATGTAGAACTGGACAGAATTTTTAAATAAATGTTAATACTGCCACTGGGAAAAAATTTTCAGAGGAAACCCTAATCATGTGAGAATCTAAGTCCCATTGAACTTCCTGAGACTTAGATTCACTTGGGTGCTCAGCAAAACTTTAGCCAATGACTGAATGCATGATTACAAAGGGCAGACTTAAATTCACTGTTGTCTTTTCCTTCCTAGGTTGCACTAGCTCCATATCAGCACTTAGAGGAAGACATGAATAGCCTGAAACAAGTTTTGGAAATGAAGAACCAGTTAATACATCAACAAGAAAAGAGGATCATGGAGCTAGAAAGGCTGGTCAGTTTTCTTTTTCTCCCTTGGGGGAGATAGGTAGATCAGAGCTAAATCAAAATGGGGGCAAGAGAAAAAGTGGCTGTGAATAGAAAAACATAATGGAGGGGTCACGGAGGGCTAAACAATGTCCCCACTTACTGTAATGTGTCTGGTTTTCTCAGAAAAGGAAGAGGGGTTTTTTTTATCCCAGTTCCTTAGCAGCCTACCATATCCCCCAGTCCCTTCCCACAACTCCCCATTCTCATGTCTCAGTTTTTCACTTTGAAATCTGCTTTGCCTGTAGAGGAGGCTGGAAACAGGTGGTAGGGGAGAAGGCAGTGAGGAGGCAGAGCACTATGATACCAGCATACCTCTGACTTCGTTTTGTCACTGTTACCTACCCAAAACCCAAGAGTAAGGGTAACTCACAGAGCAGGAGCAATGCAGGTAGAAGGAAGAGGATAAATCTGCATCACATTGCTTCATCACATTGTTAATTCAGTGGTCCATGTTCAGGCAAAACCAGTAGCAAGGTTCAACAAGACATCTCGTGGCAGAATAATGCTGATAACACTTTGACTTAGAGCACCCTATTGCAGAGATAACACAGCTTCATATTCCCACTCTGTTTTCTCTCCATCTGTTTCTTGGTGTCCCCAGGTAAAAACTCTTTACCTAATCACAAATTACTTTTCCACTGTGAAATAGGTTAATTTTGGGAGGCTTAACCTGAAACCACTGTAGGTTTATAATGTGGTAACTGGAAGTCTCATGATGGGGCAGTGGGGGTTGCTGCTTCATTCATCACAGCACTCAACAAGATGCATTTCCATCTTGGGGAAATTTGAGACTCCATCTGAACAGCTGCCTGTGTAGATGGATCTAGCATAAAATACATCACAGCTGAGACTTAACTTTTCACAGTGCCCTTTTTAGCATGCTGCTTCCTGAAGTTACACCAGAATTACAGAAACATGCACTGATGGGCTATATTCAAGAATATTTCTCTGGCATAGGTGGTTCTTAGTCAGTATAATTTTGCTTCTATTGTCTGTTGTAGCAGAATGTCACCTAGTGAAGGCTGAGAACTCCTGAGTGGACCATAGGGCTAGAAGCGACCTTCTAAGTTCAGTCCCCTGTGTTTGCAGGCAACCACTGACCCCCAAATTCCTAAAAATCATCCACTCCAGACCTTCATTTGCTAAAATCTATGGGCTTCGCCAGATTGCCTTGAAACAAGGCGTGCCTCATCAAAGTGTAGGATTCCAAATAGGGAACAAAATATGAAGTCATTTGAGCCTGGAGTCCTGAAATATGCTTGCTTCCCTGAAAGAACAACTCCTCGTAGTGTTGACAGATTCTGCCCTGGATGGATAAACTGTGGTTCTAATGGTGTCTAAAACCATCTCAGCTACTCCATGTTTACCCAGATAGAGCATGAGCCTAATGGGCTGTATATATGGACTGAGTAGTCAAAAGCCTGTGCAAGTTGGCTGGCTTGTGGGTGTGTGTACCAGTATTAGACATGCCTTATGCCCTGCTAGCTAACATCAGTTCAAATCTGACTCTAGGCTCAAATCTCAAAAAAGCATTATCATACTGCTTTCATCTTCCTCTTCAAAGGTTTTATTTTATTTACAGATAGTGTTACCTGAATACAGCAGAGGGGAGAGGGCTTTCAGCCAAGGGCCAGGTTTGCACTGATGCTGGCCAGCAGGGCAGTAGACAGATGTGGGTGGCAGGATGGTTGGGAAATATTACAAGCAGCAAAGACTGTCAGCCCTACATTCTCCCCTCCCAGCCATGTGCTCTGATCTGAAGTGGCTCTGCTCCTTTTGAGACCTGTGTGTCTATCTTCTTTCTCCAATCCCTCTTTTGTGAGCCAGGATGTATGAATTTGAAAATAAACCAGGAAATACAAGGTCAATGTGCACCTTATGTCCATCTGGGGAGGAGCTGGCTGGAATGGGGAAGGTGTCTGGTCCAGAGCAGGGTAGGCCCTGGGCATTCGAAGAGCTTGTCTGTGTGGTTAGTGTAGTAGGGGCTCAAGGCCTGGGGTGCTTTGCAGCTTGGGTTTCATGCCAGAATTACATAGCACCCATTAGCTTTGCTGACCCACAGCAGCATCTCAACTGCAAACCAACATGATCAAGGCAGCTGTGTGAATCATCACTGACCCTCCAAGTAACATTTCAATTTATGCTTAAAAAAACCTAGGAAACTCAGTTACTACAGACCTCATTAGGGTAGAGTTAAGACTGCTCACAGTATCTTGTTCCCTTCCAAGATGTCAGTAAAATTAACATTTCTGAAAACCAAGAAATGAAGAGTTTGAATATTTAAATGCAAATTCAGAAAGGCAGAGCGCACAGAGGTCAGGTACATGCCCCACAGCCTGTGATCCTCCCTCTGAGTAGGCTAGTTACTCCCAGCGTGCACATTCATACTTTGCTTTGGAAACCTTCAGCAGCCATGCAGACACTACAGCAGCCATGGGGCCCTGCTACATGTTCAAATTAAAGCTGAATGGAAGCCAGCTATAGAGATATACATTTTCAAGCACTAATTTTGTATCTGGTTGGCTCTTTTTTAACTGGCTAGTCATTTTTGTGTGATTATGACTTTGCACGTGTGACTGGTCTAAATTTATTGTGTGATTAGCCAGTTAATTGTGTGATAATTACTTTGCACTTGTGGCCTGTCTTACTTTGCATGTGTGGCCAATCTAAACTTATTGCGTGACTGACCAGTTAATTGTGTAATATATGTAACATGTAGCAGGGGCCTCGATCTAGCCTTGCCCAGTACATTGGATATTGTCGTCGCCCCTTTTGAAATTTCTTCCCACATGATGCCATCTCAAAATGCTTCCATTTACGCATCATTAAATCTACACACTGTGCTAAATGCCAACAGTCCCCATGGCAAGGATCACCAGTCCCCATTACACACCAAGCAGGGAGCACAGCCTGGGCTCCTGTAGGAAATTAGCAATAGCTATTGCCAGCGCTGGGAAGAAACAAGAGCAGCATTGCATAAGCAGTATAACAACTCTTTAGTTCCCCATTACTCAACATTTGAGTTCTGCTGAACTGGATCTTCTGGAAGGCTTTGACATACCCACCAGCATGTCCCTGGTTCAGCCCTGTGTTACCAGGGCCATGCGCTGTGCGAGGAGTACAGGAGAGCTCTACAACTCCACTCTTTTGGAGGGTGATCCCAGCCACAGGGGAGAGAGGTTCTGCAAGAGATGTGGTGGGGGAGTCAGGAGGGGGGCAGTTAGGAGAAGGCTGAGCATTAACACTCTGCTAAGTCAGAACATGGGGCCTATGGCACCACAGCCTTGCTTCAGTGTTGTGCTAGTGTGACTGCATGAATTTCTCTGGAGTGATGCTGCTAAGCTAGGCCTGTAGCATCTACACTCTAAAACCAAAACTGCTGCCAGTGATTTGTGCACCTCTAATGAGAACTGTCCACTAGTTCTCTAAGGAAAATAGTGACTCTTCCCTTGAATCAAAACCCATATCACCCTGCACCAAGTGCTACTACCAGGTGAACATAACAAGCCAATTTTCTCATTGCAGGCTGAGATAAACCTAATACTGGAGGAGAAAATTCAGGTGCTACAACAACAGAATGAAGACTTCAGAGTCAGGATTGATCAGAATACTGTTGTAACAAGGTTTGTACAGATATTTGCAAATTCCCTGAGTTTCACAGGAAACAGTGAACATTACAAGCCAAAGATTCAAAGAAAGTCAAACTAAGCATATTGTTTCCCTTGAAATGTTCATTTCCCTCTGCTTGTTTTATTAACGGTTTTTCTTCTGTTAGTGAATGTCTGTTTCAGCTTAAAAGAGGGCTGATTGCATAACCCTGTTAAATAATGGTCATGCTCTTGACCACAGTATTGAGACCAAAAATCCTGATTGACCCTGAGACCAGCACTATTGCCATACTATTTGTTGGAAGTTGATGGGCTCTGGTACTTATTTGAACAATAAATCCTTAGCATTTGTGGTAGCATCTCTGTAGCTGAGATTGGCTTAATCATTTGGGAAAGTGGTGAGGGGCGGGTGGGATATTTTTTTATAACCGTGTAGTGTCTAGGAGCCCTAGTCATGGCCCAGCAACCCCATCCACTCTGCAAACACAGAACATAAGGTGGTCCCTGCCTCAGTGATATTACACTCTAAATGTAAGACAGGAAGCAGTGGATGGAAAATGGGGAAAGAGAAAAAATGATACAGCATGATGGGCAGTGATCACAGTGCACCAGCTATCTAATGACTGCCAGATTTGCAAAGCAAGTATTAGTAAATCTGATTCGCCTCCTGGGTGTCAGCAGCATACAGGGCAGCAACAGCAGCAGCCAGGCTGAAGGTACCAGTGACAGTAGCCAGGCCAGCAGCACAGCACCTGCTATTTTTGCACTGCCCTCCCTCCTGCAACCAGCAACTGGGGCTGGTGCTCTGGTTGCTCTTCTTAGTGGTCTTCGGTATCACAGGTTAATGCGCAACAGCAGTTAGATCCAGTATTGGAAGGAAGCAAGCCATTAGGCTAAAAATGTGATGGCTGAACTTTCCTGTTGGTTTTAACTTTTGAAATCCCCTGATGTTTACAGAATCATAGGGCTAGAACTAGAAGGGACCTCAAGGGTCGCCTAATCCAGTCCCCTGCATGGATGCAAGATATACTGTTCTGCAACCATTCCTGGCAAATGCCTGTCCAGCCTCTTCTTGTACAACCTTTCCCACGTAGTTGTGGCTTTTATTTTAAACAATTCTGGCACTCCTAAAAATGTACACACACCATATTGGCATTCAGTTCTGAAATACACGCATACAGTCACTGGATTCCCTGCTGTGACACAGATGCTGTGCTTTTTTTCTCCTAAATAAATATCTCAGTAGGGGAGCCTTGTCTCCAGTAATTTGCCTCGAAGAGGTTAATGCCTGATGCTTTGGGGGTAGGTAAAAAAAAAACTTGCCAGAGTGCACCATTTGAGCGAAAGGTGAAATACCATCTTGCCCTCAGCCAGCCTGTCAGGCTGTGCAGTACACAGGAGAAGACTCCATATAATTTTCTTCTAGCTAGTGTCCTAGCTGCAGGGACTGTTCTTCACAGAAAGACCAAATCCTTTAAAATAATGTAGGAAGCTGTTTGTTTTGTTCCACAAGGGGACCCAATCAAGACAACCTGACATTTTGTTTTCTGAGACATACAAATCACAACATCATGTGTCTTAGCCTTGCACTAGGCCACCTTGTACTGAGAAAAGCCATCAGATACACAAGGGAAGAATAGCAAACCCTCAGCTTTGCAGGGTGAATTAGCCATGGACAGTGGAAGGCTCCTATAATGAGGGATTAAAGACCATAAACTGACCAGCACCCGAGTGCTGAACAGCAACGTATATTGAACAGCAACCTCTGTTCCTTCACCACCACAGGGATTGGAAGCAATCCTTGCTGCTGGCCCTCAAAAGAAGGCTGATCCTCTGTGACGCTGGGACATGAAGCAACTAGCAAATACCTCTGGGTGGAGGCTCTTGGCCTAGCCCATGCTAAACAACTTTAAGGGTGTAGGTTCCTGGGCCAGTCAGACAGGGTGCCTGGGAATCTTATTATTGTACTTTGCAAGATCTTTTATTATACATATGCCTTTGAGCTGCGGGCCTTGCAGCAGGTGTTGCATACTCAGAGGCTCTGTGCCACAGTCACAGGTGGGTGAACCAAAGGTATAGCCCCACTTCTTCATTACTTCCTTGGAGCGTCCAACTCCAGTGTGTAGGCAGTTGAGACATCACCACCTTTGCAATGGTTTGTCAGTCCCTGGTGGTAAAGACTCAGCTGCTGCAATATCCATTTTTTTCACTGGCAGGTATTTTTTTCAGCCTCTTGTTCCATATTTGCCTGGGAAAGGCTATGACAGAAGATGGGAATCAAGGTACACTGGAGTGTTAAAATAGGTAACTGGATGGGTCAGGGGTGACAGGGAGGAGATATTAGGGCATTCTGCCTCATAACAGCTACCTCAATGCACTGGTGGTGCTTGCATCTCTCTGGCTGTCTTCCTGCAGCACACTGCAGTTTTCTGAAGGTTTGGTTTTAGTTTACTAACAACCCTAAGTTTGTCATAGGGTGTTAGGATTGTTTTATGGCTGCAGTGCGAGGGAAGGGCTGGAGCGGAGGGATGTTCTTATGGTCTAAATGTCTGTTCCCTGGCTGCCTGTGAGTGCAGGGAACTGGATTCAGGGGCCTGGAAGGGACCACACAAATTCATGTTCCTTTCACCCAGATACCAGCAACAAACCTCCTGAAGCCTTGCAACGATTCATGAGCCTGTGGGTAATATGTACCACAGCAGATTGGTAGGCCCCCAAAGTAGAAGAAAAGCTTTGTAGTTAGGTCACTGGAGTGGGATGCAGATCCGTGACCAGTTCATAGCCTGGCTGGGGTAAGTGATGTAATCTCCCTGGGCCTCAGAATCTCACCTTTGAAATAAATAGATACGATATAATTCTTCCTTACCTCTGTGCTTTGTCACATCTGTTTAAATTGTAGGATCTTCCGGGCAGGAACTGTACTTTAATAACATAAAGGAATTCCCATCTCCATCAGGATCTCTGAATCGTACCATAATAACAACAGATCTATTTTACAAAGCACCCATGGCCAGTCCTGCCAGAAAAGAGCTTATTGGAGCATGTGCCTGTGTGGACAGTACGTGGATCTTTCATATGCAATCACTTTGTGTTTGCTTGTATCCCATCATATGACAAAGCAGAGCTGACATAACATGGCCAAGCATGTGGAAGGGCTGCTGGAGCATGCAGCAGCCCATAGGCCAATGTGAAGCCTGTGTTCTTTCTAGGAGGAAAAATCAATCGTCATTCTCCAATACACCATGAGGTTGTTTCTCCTTGTATCTAGCAATATCATATGAGATGACGCAACATAAATAAAGATATCCTGGTCCCAGAATGCATGAGATCAAAACAAGTCACATAGCACTTTGTGGCTCCTTTCCTTCTCTACATGCCACAGCAGGTTGCCTCATGAAGGCATGCCTGTATTGCAAAATCTATTCATGGGTTCTTGACTAGGAAGCCTCTCTCCTGCTCAAATGTCTTGCTAAATTGGCTGTAGGCTGTGTGTATGCCTCAGACCCTGCCACCCCCAGCAAATTGCAGTATTTATTAATGTCACAGCAAAATGTCTATTCCCTGACAGACTAGCGAGTACACAACAACATGGCATCTCATCCTGTGCATCTTGTAAACCTTATTAAATGTTGAAGAGGCTAGTGTGTTCTATGGGCCTGATTCTTCTGCTTCTGCACAGGTATGTCTGATTTTACAAGCAGTAGGTCAGACATAAGAGGGAACTGAATGAAGATCAGCTCCTTGAACTTTGTGCTGCACCAACTGAACAGTGATTCTCTGCAGCTGTCAACCAGGCACCCAAGTCTTTGACTGGCTCCAGTCCTCTGCTGTTGGCATTATTTTGAGGGAGCTCAGGTACTGTAGGGCTGGGCAGCAGTATAGGATAGGTAGGAGGAAGGAATTTCTTAGTAATAGCATCCACTTTCCCTCAGAATATACACTGCCACCTTACAAGAGAGCCCTGGGTAACAAGCTTTCATTTTTATATGAAACTGAAGTTGCCAACATCAAAATCCGTTCTGCCCTGGTGTAACTACACTGAGCCGAGGGGAGAAAGATGAACTTCACCCATCATCCTTAAAAACAAACTGGCCAAAACCTGGAGTTCCTGCTTCACCAGCTATTCATTTTTTTCAGCATCTGTTTGGTCAGACTGAAGTAAAATTTTTATCCAAATTTCCTGTAAACTTGAAGCTCCCAGGTCCTGCAGCTGTGCAGTGAGATTGGCCTTCAGGTCTGCAGCCTGCAGAAGAGTGACAAGGAGGTCAGTTTTTCTGAGTAGTTGGGGGCTTCCAGTGTCTGTGATTCAGACGTGCCTGTGGCATGCCCTGGGGCAGGGACCTGCAGCCACCAGGGTCAATGGCTCGAGGACAGCTACACCAGGATTCCAAGGAAACCTGCATTGCCTCTGACAGTGTTCTAAGCAAGACATTTTAGGCTCGGGGGGTGGGGGATCCTGGGACAAGTTTTGGTTAATGTTCCTGACTAGCTCTATCCATAGATAGCCCATGTGTCCACAGGAAAGCTGCTGCATGCTAAGTGCCAGGGAAAGCTTCCCCATAGTGTGCCACCAATGTGCCTTAATCCTTGCCTTTGTGAACTTTTCATCCTGGTTGCACGTGCTGAGACTGCCATTGAGGATGCCAGGGAGTGATGGTTATAATCATAGGCATGTTCTGCTTCGCAGTGACTTGATTACATCACCTACTTCACAGGGGCCTTTCCATCAATCGCAGAAACAGGCATAAAATGCCATCTGATCTCAGATGGGACTTAAACACACAACCCGCATGAAAGAGGTCAATGCCTTGTCTGTTGACACAGTGAAACTAGGTAGCAGCAGCTGCGCAGCAATCACAACCTGGGTCAAAATCATATCTTGGGTGCAAAAAAGAAGAAAGTCTCCATATCCCATTACCAACTATTGTCTCCTGTGGCTGGTTTGTGATTAAGATTTTTTATTTCAAATTCATTTGAAAATATGTATAAAAACAAAGAGATCCTCAAAATTGCTTAGTGCTTATTGGTCTGTTGCCTATATGAAAACACACACAGTTCTAGTGTATTTGGAATTATATATTCTTTTTAATAACAAGCTCTATCTGCTCTGAAGCCATACCTATGGAGTAGACCTTTGCAGTAATAAGATAAAGTGTTCAGGGTTTTCCTTCAGGTTGCAGTGAGTTGAGTCAGCCATTGTGATCTGAATAATACTAGTTGATATCAGCTGTGTCCCAGGATCCCCCATGCCCACCCCCCAATCCCACCAGACATGCTAATTGATGTACTTGGCTTTCACATATGAAAGCAGCATCACTGCCTTGCCATTATGTACCTTATGCAAAGTGGTGACTTAAAAGAGATGGTTGTGGACAACTTGCTTTAAAGACAGTCCAGGAGTGGCTGGTATGAAATGTTAAGCGATACATTATTCTCCTCTCCAGGCAGTTATCTGAGGAAAACGCTAATCTGCAAGAACATGTTGAGAAAGAAACTGAGGAAAAGAAGCGGCTAAGTAGGACTAATGAAGAGCTGCTTTGGAAGCTCCAAGAAGGAGATGCCATGAGCCATGTTAAACTCTCTCCTACATCACCAACTCCTATTTATCGCTGTTCATCGGGGCCTCCTACGCCAGCAAAAGTCAGCACTGTGCCAAGATGACAATGCTGTGCTGCTGCTCCAGATCACCTGGCTTTGACATCCTTTTGCAATCTGCTGAATGTTATCATCTAAGAGCATTTTAACAACCGTAGATACCCAGGGTTTGTTACTGCAAGCATGCTCTGTAGCTGCATAACCGTATACTAGACAGTGTACTATTACAGTTCCAGAATAGAACCTCCTGGTACTGGCTCACTGATGTGTTAGGATAGTATAACCAGTGTAGTTTGATGTATAACACTGTACCATGGTTAGAGCCAAAAAAAAAAAGGAAAAAAATGTACTAATGATTCATCAGAATGAACTTTTTGCTGCAGCATTTCAGGTTAGTTACAACGTTCAACTTTTGACTAGCTAAATATACGCGTGTGTTTATATACATGTATTGTACCTTGATGTGTGTTCATGTTTATATAGACACACACATATATATATGTAGTCAAAGATGTTCTGAATTGCATTTTTTTATATTATTGGACTACTAAGTGCTGATATATTTTCGTTATGGTCAGCAGTTTTCTAACTCGTGCCTAAGACTTATATCTAAACGAAATGCTTTTCTGTCTAGCCTCCCAGGAATATTTCTACCCAAAAGTGAAGAAAGTTACACAGAAGTAGAAGCGCCTTCCAAATGACCACCAAGTGGTACACTCTATGACATGAACACCAGCGACTTTGACATTCTGAAACAGTACTGCCTTTGAAACAATCACCTTCGTACTCAACGCCAGATAAGATCGCTCATTCCATTCACTGAATTTTAATTATTAGCATTAATGTTGTGAGTGGCTATAGGCTAGAGATGAGAAACCCTCAGGGTTTTAGCAGATTTCATAGAAGTTATTTGTTAGGGTGACTTCATTTTAGTCTTTTAGATCCTAGTTATGCTTTTTTCTTTAACAAAACTTTTCTAAAGCAATCAGGATCTCTAACAAATCCATGAAGATGTTGGGCCAGGGACCATATTGTTTTACTACATGTTCCAGAAGGAAGGAGAAAAAATATTTCCTGGGACCTTGATGTTTGGCCGAGAGGGTTAATTGTCTGAGTGGGAGGCTCCCAATATGTAGATCCAGTTTGCCTCTGACTACAAGGGATCTTGCACAGGGTGGGTATAGCTTGTCCTTGTTCTCTTCAATATCCAGCAAAATGCTAGTGAAAAATCCTTGGGGCTGCACAGGTTCACAAGAGGCGAGCATGTTGCCCCTTGCCATAGATTCCCATATATTTCACCCTATGACATCTTATCATTTGGAGGAATTCTGAAGACATGCAACTATAACCTAAAGCAAATTCTCATGTTTCCCTATTGCTAAGACACCTGTCACTGCATATGGAAGTTAGGCCTGTATTCAGCCATGGCAGTTTATAATGCAGGCCCCAGATAGACTAGATATAGGCTGTCAGATTATTCTGAAGCAGGCCAGTTTCCCGGGGATACAGAACCTAGAAGAGACTTCAGTAGGAGGATTTAAAAGGATTTTGCAACATTGCAGTCCCAAATCATGGACTAATGCAACACAAGCAAGGGACCCTGTTTTCTTTGCTGTTATCTACAATAGGTTCCAACCCTTTCATCAGATTTGTTCAGATCAGAACATGAGGCACATGGTGGAACATGACAGCAGGATTCCCCACACATAAAGGAAATGTCTGGTTTGCAACTGATGCAATGCTTTTCTTTTCCATCTGTGTTAGAGACCCTGCACTTTTCCTGCCTGCTCCTAGAGTCTAATGTGCAGTCCAGGAGATGAGCATGTTAAACCTAGGCTGGAAATCAGTTCAGGGTCATGGAGTGATATGAAAAAAGTTGTTCTCGCCATGTGTGTAACGTGGTGTCTGGCTGATGGCCTCAGCAGGGCAGGGAGGCATTTAATCCATACTGAGTGTTTGAACATGCCATGTGGTTTAGCTTTCCTGTGAAATACTCAGGATGCTTAAGCAGCAGTTTTGTTACAGCCAACTTTGAGTCTTTGCAAGGACTTTACCCCATTCCAGGATATAAAAGTTAATTAGGTGTTAACTTTTTGTAGAGAAGTTTATTTTTCTAGCAGCTTTGCATGATACTGTGATACTGAGTAAGCTGAGCAGCTCTTTAGACTAGATCATGCCACCTGCTCGTGCTTCAGTGACTGACACTGCTGAAATGTGTTACTAGGCTTTAGCTCTGCAGCAAGTGCAACCTGAAAGTAGGATAGTTATTAAAAGGGCCCGTGGTACCATCGGACTCCATCACACAGCACTTGCTACATGCACAGATACTCTGCAATACCTGTCTTCTTGTTCCGTTGCAGTCTCATATGATGTTACAATAAGAGTTGTTACCATGGTATTAAAGAAAAGGATCCTATGCCAGCTCACTACAATGTTATCCTGGCCTGATCGGGGCTGGCTGAGCCACTTGCTTTTTTGTCACCAGTTCTCTGTTTATGGCACTGTCCTCATCCTTCTGTCCACTTAGTGCAGAGGCAGTGGATGCTTCCAGTGGAGAATTAGCCATGGGGGGGTTCTTAGTAGGGAGGAGACGGGGTTGCCACCCAATCATGTCATCATTTGATGTCCCTCCCAAGCCATTTTTCCTCCTCACCCTTTTACCTTCCCATTTTGCTTGATCCTTGAAGCCACCACTTTGTTCCACACAGCTCGCGATGGCCACCAACTCCAGGCCACCTGTTGGCTGACAAAGCTGTGTCAAGGGGGCTCTTGAGAAGCAGTGAGCCTTTCCAAGGCACACAGCAGCATACTTGCCAGTACAAGCCCATGAGAAAGGGGTTTTTTGTTTTTTTTTTGCATAGTAGTATAGAGCTCTGCCAAGAAGGCACAGAAACTGGCTTGCTGATGTAGCCAGAGGCATGACAGGGCAGCTGCACACCTAGGCACGGGACAGCTGGCTGCCACCAGCAAGGTACCCGCTTGTCACCTGTAGCAGGTTCTTTTTTTTTGGTCCTGCTCCCAACTTCTGTCCCAACCCACACCCAAGGCTGCTGCCCCAATTTGCCCTTCCTCTGTTACACTATCAGGTATAACAGCCACTTTGCTATTCTTTCCTTGCCTTCTTTCACTTACAAAAGTGAAAGCAGGCTAGAGTGAAGCCATTAGTGAGAAAGCTAGGACTGCCATTTCAAGCATGGCTTTTACAAGTGCTGGCTAGGACACCCCTGCAGTCAATGGATACCCAGCATGCTCTCAGATGTCAGGTGCACAGGGAAAGCAGGCCTCTCATCCTGCAGGTAGCAAGGACTGTCTTTCAGGAGCACTTGCTTCCTGAACTTTAGGCACCTGCATGTTTGTGAGCAATTTGTCCTAGCTTTCACCTGCCATCCTTATGGGGGTCACTGAAATGCAGTTGTACTGGATTTTGAAAAGAAGATGCTTCCCTAGCTCTTTAGAGTAAAAGTCCTCTCTCTAAGCTAAACCAAGCCACAGAAAGAGAGCTAACAGCTCTTGGAGTGCAACACACCAATGCAAACACAATCCCACTCAAAGCCCTAGGACCAGCATAAAGCCATGGAGGAGCTGTAGCAGGGGGTAAGGGGTAACAGTTGCTGTGATGTATAGACATTTGCCATGTCCCTCCCTGTACATTGCAAAAGGGGAAATCCCATGACCTGCAAGTAAGTGAATCCAATAAGCCTATTCCAGTATTTAGGCTTCAGTAGCAGCTATAATGGACTGTGCAGCAGATCTGCAGCCCACGTGTGTTCAGTGGATGAATTATGGCACCTCTAACCCCAAAACTAAGGTGTTGTGCAAGAAGGCTGGCCTTTGCACTGGAAGAGCAGCACACCCTGCCACTGCAAATTCAAGCACAAGACTGAGGTTTACCGTTTATTGAAAGAGCTTATGTATAGTCTTGCAGTCACTGTAAATACCAGGAAGCCGAGGCACATGGATATGATGTATAATGTGGCCTAAACAGTAACAATTCAAGGATACATTTTCCAAACAGATGGCATTAGATTCTAGCAAGGCAGATTTAAGTGATCACAGCAGAAGTCCTCTTTCTGTCAGAGCCAATGGCCAAGAGAAGACCATTTTATGCCTTAGTACACAAACAGTAAATGAGCCCTGAGGAAGGGGTGGAAAAAAAGTAGAGACATTTTCCGCATTTATGGGATCAGTGTGCTTAAAACTGTTATGCAATATATTTGAGGGCATTCATAACGATAAGCCTTGAACAATGGAAGGATAAGTAGAGCTCTCTCCTCTTCCACTATCTGTGCACACTCCCTGAGTCTGTTGGCTATTGCTGTATTACCATCCCTCCTGCAGAAGTTTAGGTTCTCCTTTCTTTTTGGTGGGGGGGAGGAAGCTGGGGAACCAAACAGGCCCCAAAATTAGCATCTGGAGTCAGCCTCCCTCTCTGCATTTCAAGCAAAAGGTTTCAGCCCCATAGCTCAGGTCAGTTGCTTTCTAGGGGGATTCAGCTAGATTAGTACCAGTTTCTCCTCTTTGAACAGCAAATGACTGTAGCAACAGACTCAGCAGCTTCAAGCTTTAGTTTCCATTGCAGTCGAGAAGAGGCAGGGAGGTGAAAGTGTCTGCTCTTGGGTAGTGCAGGCAAGCCAATTCACAGCACAGGGGCTGCAAGTTTCGTATTTTTCATTATCCTCTGCCATCAGTAGCTCAAACAGGCAAAAACTGCAACACTTGCCTCTCTCAATTAACCTACTAGACAGCAGAAGGATGACGATGACATACATCAAGACAGAGCAATTACTCACTTGGACTACAGGGCTTCACTGTTGTTCTACAACCCTAGGCTAATTTTGAGGCAGTGACAGGGGTGACAATAAGACTGCTCATTATTTATACTGCAATAAAACCCAAATACCTGAGCAAAAGTAAGGTTCTATTTTAGAAACACAAACTATTGTCTGTGATCCAAAAAATTTATAACTAAGCATGATCCTTGAAGCTAGCTTAAACACAAAATCTCTTCCCTCAACCTTTCAGGCTGCCCTCAAATTACACCCCCACCCACCACCTAATGTCTTCCTTAAAAAAAAAAAAGAGTGCACCAAGTGCCTCTTTGAGAACATAGATGGCTTGTGGGCATCCTTACTACATACAAGATATGGGGGGGGGGGGGGGGGGG